TTCCATCTCTTTACAGTACTCGAATTGCCGTCGATATGCTATACCATCTCCAAAGAGTCTTGCATGCCCTCAGGCTAGTTCACCTCATGTTTACCGTGCTGGTGTTGTTGCTAGGCTCAACAAATGCCGCTGGCGGTAGTATATCATCAACGCATAAGAACTCATCGCCACAACAACAGATAGCCACACAGCAACAACAACAGTCACACCTGCCACAACAGCAGCACATACAACAACAAACCCACTTGCAACAACAAACACACTTGCAACAACAAAAACACTTGCAACAACAACAACCACAGCAGCAGCCTCAGCAACAACAACCGACTCCAGAAATTCATCAAATTATACCTCAAGACAGCACTCGGTCACACATGCGCCCACACGACCAACAGGAACCCATGATTTCGCTATCACATCTACCAACAATAACAAGCAGCAACAGCGATACGTCCAATTCTGAGTATATGATGAAAGCCGTTGGCGTCGATGAAGAGATTAGTGATCCATATCAATATTTGAACGATTTGAAGATTGAACCACGTTTGACTGCTGGAAATGGAATGGCTTGGAATCCATATATGACACCGAATAATCATTTTTCGCAAATGCCAACAATGCTAACTAGCTTACCTTACAACCCTTATGGCCCGTTTGGCAATACACTACCCCCATTGATGACTCCACGGCTTTTGCCCTTCTATGGTTATCCTCAACCAATTTTAATACCATTACCAATGTTTTTCGGCCCTACAGATTTACTCTACCCTGCCTATACCGGAACTGGCAATGAGAACGACGAATCCATACCCCGCACCGCAGGGGACCAAAGAGCGCAATCTTCTCACTTCGACTCCACGCCGATGTCTGCCTTAGCCGGATCAAATCCGCGAAACTCTCAGATATATTTTATGCGTTTTTCACCAATGCCGTATATGTTCATACCCGGTTTGGGCTTTACTCCCTCTCAGTCACCTGTGCCAGCTATACAACCATACACGCCATTGCCTGCTCTGCCCGCGATCAGCCCGATTTGGAATATACCGCTTAACTTCGTAGCGAATGGCAAACCTACAAGCATATACCAGATCGGTGGCACCCCAAATGATATTCCCGACTCTATGCAGTTCAACAATATGAATCTGTTTGGTATACGTCCTGCCGCACAATTACCATCTCCATTTGCTCTTGCTGGAGTCAACAGACCGGCAGCCTCGAATGTTGCCAACAGCTATGCGTCACATGGGCCACAAGCTTCGTCAAATTCACTTCAACAGGACTCCAAAATGACTTTGCTGAAACGTCCATTCTTCTTTAATGGACGCCCAGATGAGATCTATACGTTGCCGAATAATTTTAACCCGCTTTACTCGAATTCAGCATATTACTAGTACAAAGATTTTACATATTTCATAAAACTAATAACTCAGAACTGAACTGATTTTATTTAAAGGTATTAAATTTAATTTTTGAGAAACCGAAAGACTATGGGTAATTCAATAAACTATTGAATAAATGTGTCTTGTTCGTGTTCCCTTTATTTGTCTATTCTTGATTCTTGTTTGAATATTCTTGAAACTAAGTAGGAAATATTTTATGTATTTACCTAAAATATACAAAGATAAGTATGTATGTATGCAGTTTGGATCAACATCTCTGACGTCTACATCTATTGATTTGAACGAGCTTTATCTCATTAAGTACAGCCCGATCTGATGAAGAATTCACAATTTTTACAAAAGCCCTTTTCTTCCAGAAATGAGCCTGTAAGTTTAACACCGTGTGTCAATAGCAGGCCACTATTAACAAAATCTAGGGGAAAATTCATTTTGGCGGAATTCGGAATGTTTATATGTAAATATGTATAATATACATTGTATATGAATAAATATCGTGCTCGTCACGTCATTACCTTGGAGGTCGGTCTTGCCTATGCATACTGTTCAATAGGAATACACGAAGAACGTAAAGGTCTCCCCTCTAATGACTTCTACCATAGTTGCAGGAACGAAGTAAAGAGTTTACGGAAAAATAAGTGGATGCTTTACAGGTCACACTAGTGATATCACAATGGCCCTTCTGCCTGAAGTGTGACTCTCTAAATTCCCCATACAGAGTGACAGTCAACGTGACTAACCCGTAAAATAAAATAAACTTTACACAATCTTCATTTTCAGTTTCTTTACTATAATAATAAGAGTGTCGAATGCACTTGCCTCGACATGGTAAATGACAAAGGTGAGTTTTAAAACATCTGAGTGGACGATCAACCTACATGTTTCGGAAAACTTTCGGCATAAGGTTCCTTATCATTGGAAGACTATTGTCGAATCTTTTTTTCTGTTATATAAGATCATATTTAAACTTTAGCCAACTCCCGTATTGATAGTTTTTTTTTTTTTGTTTTCTGTTGCTTGCATAAAGGTACTATAACAAAAAAAAGTAAAAAAGAAAGTTCGATATCTGCGATGAGCGCCATAGTTCAACCACACACCACGACTTCTGGCAAAGAGTTAACGACTACGATGCCAATTAATTTGTCATTCGTTTGGAATATCAATTCGATTTACTACTTGTAACTAACATTTCATATAATGCGTGAACCGTTAGCGCTGCGTAAGCAGGTGTAAAGTCACGCTAAAATTGGTCATAAAATTAAATGCGCTTGGCCGGAGCTGTGGAGCGCACGTGAATTGCAGCAAAAGTATTTAGGCGCATACTTAATCGCAGAACGAAGTGGTTTAAACCAAATAGCAAGGACTCGAAAAATTGTAAACATTTCGAAATTTTTGCATGTGAATCTTAAAAGTGATAAGAAATTTCTGCCGCAAATTTGATAAGAACGATACGATGAACTTCAGGCGAAGCTCACTCATTCTACTGCTGATGCTGGTGTTGCTTTACTTTTGCGCAGAGTCGGAAGCCAAAAAGTGGCGTTCACATCACAAGAAGAGAAGTAATTCACCTAAAATTTCGGCCACTTTTCGTACAGGTGAATGAATAAGAATAAATGAAAATATGTATTTCTTTGTTTTCATATGTGTTCATTATGTATGTATTTTTTGTCATTAGTACCGCCAAAACGCAAACCAATGCCAAAGCATCTAACCGCTGCACACAAACGAAATGCGAAAATGAACTACTACCATCCGCTGCCCACCAGTTGGCCTACTCACTTTGCGGATACTTTGCCACCTACATACTACTTAGCCTCGAACTATCCACGTTGGCGCTCTTATCTTACAGCGCCGGTGCGAAGAAATACACTAAGAAAAATGGATTTGACGCCACCATTTGTGCCCCTTCTTCCGTTTGCTGCACATCCGACGGCAATGCGGCGCGCCGATGAATTCGATATTAACAGCAGCAGCAGCACTTTATCCACTGCACCTTTGGTCGATATGAGCGCTTTCAATGCCGCCATTGCGGATGGTATTCTGGACACTGACTTTTCCCAATCGTCTGCAAATCGAGACTTTCTACAACCGGAGATTTCATTAGGTGGCTGGACGCCAGTAGACTACAAGTCGTTTATGGCAGATGCGGATTTCAGTCTCTTAAACGATCAGATGGATCTAAGCCGTCGACTGGACATGGATGGACCGATGTATAGCAATCCATTTGAAACACATTTTGTTTAATGAGGTATTTGTATTTAACTTTAAGTAGAATATGTAAGGGACGTTTCCTTAGTGAACCAGAAGAAATAAAAAAACAGGTTTGTTATACGAAAATAAAACAAAGAGTTTGTACTAAATGCGCATCGATTTGGTCCAAGTCCAAAAACAGAACGTCAGTTGCTTCTCTTCTGCGCCTCTCCTCTGCTCAGGATGGAGGCATTTGCATCCATTCGTATGGCATTATCGAGCCAATGGAGCTATATTTGAAAATACTGTCACAACAAAACCAGATTTTTCAGCAGACGTGTTCAAAGTTTTCGACTTGCTACATGAGATTTCAGCACGTTATTTACACACAACGAGTAATTCTGCATTGTTTGCTCAAAATTGTATTTTTTTTGAGTTATGACAGACCTTTAGTAAATGAGGGATTTGTATATACATATGTATGTGTTTTGCTTTAGCGTAAAATTCCGATAGTAACAATACATGGCATAGTTATAGGCTGTGATGAACTCCAAATAACAGCCTTACCTAAATAGAAGCGTAGAGCGTGGCGTTTTCTACCGCCTAGCGTTTACGTCGAAAGGTCATACCTAAAGAAAAAGCGGCAACGCTACGTCAACAGAATAAATCACAACAACAATTAGCATAGTTTGTGTGTGTGAAATAGGAAAAAAATTCGTTATCTATGTGGATGAAAATGCGCAAAAGCGTCAGCAAAATAAATTGCCAAAAATCAACGGTAGTTTGTTGTCACTTCCAACTTGCACTTTATTTTACTATAATTAAATGGGCTATAAAACTGCATACCCAAAAGCACTGTACACCCTCCTTAGGGCGCGGTTAAAGCTTAAACAGACGGCAGCGTTGATCCGGATTAACTCGGACTTAATCCGGATCAACTGCAGTTAATTCACGAGTTGATACGGAACAACGCTGCCGTCTGTTTATGTTTTTACCCCGAATGTGTACGAGCGTAGCGTAGAAGTGCGTAGAAACATATCCAGTTTGCTGTTGATAGAAAGAGAGAGAAGCAAGGTCTACGTCGCGGTCATGCGGTGGTGAGTTTTTGTTAAGAGCGAAATACACAACACAAGCGGCTTGACAAACCAAGCGAAATTTCCCTTTGCTTCAAGCCATTTGTGCTGTGTATGGGGGTGTTTGAAGGTTTGACAAACCGCTTGAGGGAAATTTGAGCAAAAATCAAAATTTTTTGATTTTCTGGCCGCCATGTTGATGTTTGATCAAACCGCTTGCGTTGTGTATAGCAAAATCGCCTCATTCGCAACGAAATTTTCACCGAGTAAGGACGTAAGAGAGGAAAATGAAAGAAAACCATAATATTTAGCATTGCGAACTGGAAGAAAACTAAAATTCTTTGCTTGAACGAGTCATGTTTGCATGGTGTATGGCGAAATGGGAAAAGTAGGTTTGAAGAATATTTGACAAGCCGCTTGTGTGGTGTATTTCGCTCTTTAACAAGCAGATCCCATAAGATAGATCGTGTCAGTTGACACGTTCTCCGTTTTCATGTCCATAGGTAACTGTGCTTTAAGTAAAAACACTATCAGCATTTTGGCATTTCCTGTTCTCTTTTAAAATTTCTTTCCAAAAACACCAACACACTAACCAAAAACCCACCTACAGGCCGCCAAACACACACATACGCCTGTCATGACATAACTTCCAGAAGATTTCCGCAAACATCTCATGGAAGTTATGTCATAAATAGAAAAACTATGAACTAGTTTCATTATATTTATGAAAAATTTGTACTTTGAATCTTTGACTTATTTATCCTTTCGAGTTTCTAACTCATAAAACTTTAATCTGAATAGTTGTAGTAACATTGAACCACAATATGCATTTTGAAGTTTTCTGGCAGCATTTTCATTCGATTTTCGCGAAGAAAAGCCTTGAATGTACTAAATGTGCGCTCGACGTAAGTTGATACAAGTGGAGCCCAATTTAAATATGGAACGTTTGAAGCGTTCATATTATCAGGAATAAGGGTGTTTTCCTCGCCTTTACACCCCTCAAGCCTACGTGAGCTGAGAATTTGAATTTCTACAACACCAATTTTTGCTAGAGGTCCCTGCGCTTCTGTAAGCCGCATGAGCATGTGTATATTTTTTAATCTTAAAAAAAAAATTTTAAATGCTATAATCACATTTTTAAAGGTAGAAAAGGCAAAAAAGGCAAATATCTTAAAAAAGGCAAAAAAGGCAACATCAAATGTGTATGTATGGAATCAGAGAAAGCAAGCTCGTGGACATTCTTAATCGAATATACTCTATCTCTTTAGCAGAAAAAAAGGCAATTTCCATAAAATCCGTTCCCTGGTCATAACTTAACTTCCACAATAATTAGAGAGAGACAGTTATATCCGAGAACGAAATCATCATCCAATTCGTCCTCAATTTCAATGTCCAATTCGTCTTCTTCATCGTTTTGCGTCGACGAGTTAGTTTTTTTCTTGCCCTGTGACTGCTAACCATCACTCATAACTCGCAAAAGTTGGGTAGAAATAGCATCCTCTTCTGAGATTAGAAGCGAAAGAAAACGGAAGAAATTCCCGTTAATAGGAAAACGTTTTCCAAATGCAGCATTAGCTTACTAAAGCCGAAGTAGAGCATATTTTTAAACTGAAAACCGACAGTTCATTCAACATTTTCTAAAAATAAATCACAGAATTAAAAAAGAACCTGATAAGTCATAAGAGTTTCATTCACCGGTTTTAAACAACAGCTCTGGAAAATATCTAATTTTGTGCCGGACTTCCAGCTTTGACACTAAAATTTAACTTTTTTTTTTAAAGTGGAGCTCATCAATTGTGCAGTGAGCGGCTCATTTAATATGCAATTATCATGGAATTTATGTCAGAAGTAATGTCAGACTTTAAAAAACGATAGCTGGCGCTTAGCCAGCTGCAGTAGCTCCCTTGAATCAGCTTGATCTGGAAGTATTTGGAGGTAGTTTATGAAGAGGTCAGGCATTCCCCTACCAGCTTTGAACATACCTTTAGCGATCCCAGCGTCCTTATTGCCGCCTGGGTATCAATGTAGATATTTACCCTCCTTGTCGACAATACATTGGTGCATAGCCAATCGGCTGCCTCTTTTATAGCAGCCACCTCGGTCTGAAAAACGCTACAGAGATCCGGTAGTCT